AGAGGAAGGAAAACAGGTAGAATCTCGATGTTTGTAGTTGTTTTCTTGTAGTTTTTAATAAACAACAATCCTTTGGGGAGTCCCCGTGTATGTAAACAGAGAAAGCAAGTGATGAAATTGCAAAGAAATTGCATGTTACAGAAACAGGGCCCACACATAAGGATTTGGCTTAGTGTCTTTAAAATGAGCAAACGATGTGCAAATCAACATCTACTAAGATTTACTGGGTCTTCTCTGATTTTTTGGGAAGCATTTATTCAGAGTACCTGAAAATTATTTTAATTAGAAATGGATTTCCTGGAAGCAGTTTACCCGTCACACACCCGGAATGAGCCCAAACAGTAAACCGTGTAGCTGCTTTTCTTTTCACAGTGACCGGAGCTAACAAGGTCCCCACCACCTGCCGAGGGTACCTCAGCATTTACTTCATTGGCAGGCTGCGTTTTCCTTAAAAGGGGAAGAGCAATTAAAATATATCCTTGTGTGCACAGGTATCTTCTGGAACTCAACTCACAATTGATCTAATTAGCCTCTTTTGACTTATTTGCCTCTGTCACTAGATGTTAAGTTCACTGATGGGAGGGATCCTATTTTCATATCCAATTATTTAGCACAACGCACAGGGTATCTGCTAAAACTCTTCTGAGCGCAGGAACAATTGAGTAAATACATTCTTCCTCCATTCAGTAGCTCATGCTGTCAATATCCCAGCTAAGAGCTTCTGTCCTCTTCATTCACTGCCAACATCTTCATAGCGATGTCTCTTACAACTGAAATGGCCCAAATATTAGTTTATCAGAGAGAATCTCCTGGCATTGGCAACCCCAAACTGTTCCCTGATGAGCTGACTTTGCATATTGATACCTTTAGCAAATTGGTTGATATCTTAACTTGAGAAAATATCTCTTTTAATTAAATTAAAATCTATATTTCTTCCTGGAGGAAACAGAAGGCAAGGCTTGGAGCCTGCACATTCTGCCAGGCTCTCCTGGTGTACGGGGAGGTGAGTGGGTTGGGGTTGGTGGGGAGGAATGCTCCAGGCCAGTAGCCCAAAGTCCTGAGAAGTTGGGACGCTGATGACGGGACATTTCCCTGCTCTCAAAGCCACCTTAGGTCAAAGCGGTTGACCCATGTTGATGCATTGCCTTCACAGGTAAGTATGCTGACTCACAGATGTGCGAGGTAAGTAAAGAAGAGGGTGGCACTATGCTGGCCAGAGGACAGCAAGTCATCTTAGCCAAGAGGGCTGGTCCTATGGTACAGAACAAACAGCCTGGAACATGTCCTGAGGGCACTGACCTCCAGCCTGCCCTTCCCCTTGGTGCTCAGGAAGGGCAATGAGACTATCAGTTACCACTGCGGTAACATGAGCCAGGGGTCCTGCCGGCCACAGGGGCACTCTCAGGCCCAGCCAGACCTGGTGGACACTGAACACAGGAAAAACATCAATACTCAGGAAATATCAATATCAACACTAACAATTACTAAGCAATTTTATAATCTGGACTCCAAGGTAAGCCTTACATATGGCTAATTTTCTCATCCTCACATTAACCCTATGAAGGTAGAGACTATTATCATTTCTACTTAACAGTGGAAGAAAAGGAAGTTTAAAGAGGTTAATTCCCTTGCTCAAGAATTAAGGTAGAATCAAGAATTCAAATAAGGGAAATTTTATCACCTGGAATTTTCTAACTTTCAGAGAAGTTTTTAGAATAAATTTAGGTTATGGAGCACATTTCCAAAAGGTCCCAGAGTAATTTAGTTTTTAAAATTAGAACAATAGGACCTCCCCCCACCCCCATGCCTCATCTAATCTGTGGTAAACTCCACAGCCACACGACGTGAACTGGACAGAACGGACGGCAGACAGCACCTGCCTCACATTACACTTTAGTGCTGAGCACAGGCACATCATTTTGCCTCCCTGGCCTCTATTTCCTGACTTATCAAATGTACAGTTGAGCTACTCGGGAGGCTGAGACAAGAGGATCACTTGAGTGCCAGAGTTTGAGGTTGCTATGAGCTATGATGCCACGGCACTCTACCAAGGGTGACAAAGTGAGATTGCCTCAAAAAAAAAAAAAAAAAGTACAGTTGAATGAGGTGATGGTCACCCCTTCACAAGGGGTTGTGGTTCTTAGGTGATGTGGCCGATTCCTAAAATCAGAGCTTTCTTGGGGAATGAGGGTCTCACAGACACTGAGAGCTGACACCTGCCCAGGGCACACCCACAGAAGTTTATGCAAGATATACAATTTCCTTGTGGAAAGCCCCAGTATGGTAGCTGCGGAAGTAAGTCACGCGGCCATCTCACTTGGGTCAAGGCTGATACAGGACAAAATATTTACATGAGTTTCATTTTAAGCTATAATTATAAACTGTTTCCAAGTATGATTAAATAGCCCAGCTTTTCCATCATTTAGGGTTTACCAATTGTTGGGTTTTAGATTTCAAGTTAATTTTAAAAGCAAGTTTGAAAACATCAGGTCTGAGACCCTCCCTGAAAGCCTTTTTAATATAAAGATGATATTGTTTTAAACTCATGTTAATTTCCTGTTTATGACATGAGAGTGCAGTTCAAATAACAAAATTTTTCAAAGTCTTTGTGTATATGTTAAAATAAAAGCTTCACAGAAACAGTCTCCAAAGTTTTCTTTTTATAAAATGAGTTATCTTTTTCCTTCATCCCAACAGAGGAAATTCACACCTGTGCTCAGTGCTTTATGCTCTTCCCAACCTGGCACTCCTGACACAACACACCTGCTAAATTTGTATTTGTCCAAGAGAGCTTCTTGGCCTATCAGGAGCTGTGACTACACAACCAAATAGCTTCTCAGGAGACAGAGGGGAAGATAGCTGGGGAGGAACCCGGAGCAGACGCCAGGCACAGAGCAAGCAACTTAGTAGATTCCTGGCTGGTGCATGTGCTCCGTGAGGCCAGGACTGCTGTGAGGCCAGGACTGCTATCGGTCGTATCTTTTGGATCTGTAGTTGCCAACAAAAGCTGGAAGCCTGGGCAGCTTCTCCATAAACACTTGCAGAATGAATTTCTTAGTAAGCTTTTAAGAAAACTCTCATTTCTCAGGTTTTTTCCCCTTTAGCAATAGGATGAAAATAGTAAAACACACTCCCTGGATTTTCGTAAGCACGAAAGGCAGACAGCTAGTGTGTGTGTTTGTGAAGAGCAGAGTGCTGGGTTAGTGCTGGGCACCTCACCAGCCCTTCCCTGCAGCACCCTTGCCGGACGCAGCACCCTTGCCGGACGGATCTGGGTCATTGATTACTTGCTGACAGATGACATTTATTTTTTACTCTGTTTGACCTTCTGCAGATCCAATAGTTTACATATGTTGTTGTTGTTGTTGTTTTAGAAATGTTATGTTCTCATCCCAAAAGCCTCATTTCGGACCCCCTCTCCCCGCAAGTTGTTTCCACAGCTCAGCTCCCTTTGCTGAACCCTCCACCAGAGGGGAGCATGTCCCAAACCGGGATTGCTGAGCTCCCAGGGTCTCAGCATCCTGAGAGTCTCCTGAACACTGCCTGGAGTTTGCACACATGTGTGCCTCTTGGCAAAGATAAGTGGAAGGTGGCAGGAGCTATCTAATAAACCGGGCATTTCATTGAAACAGAAAATACAAACACTGGTGTAAATACTATTCTGAGTTATTGACCTTGTCTACTTAAGATTTTTAAAGTGCCAGTGTCCCAGAGAATGATTTGTCTCACTGAACTTAAGCTTAATTTCTCCCAGTATGTGAGGCTTACAGCAAGCCCACCTCCATTACTGGATTAATAGTTTTATTTGTTTGAAATATATGTTCTACCCTCAGGGTCCAGCCTAGAACCAGGCCCCAGAGATACTACCAAGTACTCCAGTTGCTGATTTAAGGATGCCACAGATGAAACTTTTTAATCGAGTAATTCTTTGCTGCTCTTTTTTCTATTCCTGAGCTTTGCTTAAAGATCTCTCAATTGTTACAGAAGCCAAGCATGTGTCTAATATCATGGCGGCTGGGACAGGGAAACCTGAGAAGAGATATGTGACACCGCTCCAGCTCACACACACAGACCCCAAGGTGCCAGCCTGGAGCAAAGGCAAGGCAGGGACAGACGGAATCCCTCGGGTCACAGCGACAGCCTCCCAGCAGGATGGCTCTTCTCACCTAGACATATTTCCTGGGTTTGTCATCTATAGATTCAGCAACGTGATTTGGACACGAAGAGATAATAAGATCTGATTGTTGAAATAAAAAAAAAGAAAAACACCAACCACCCACAGATGACTTTGGAAACCTAAGATGCCGAAATGAGGGACAGGCTGACAGGAGGGCATTTCCAGAGGCCCCATGAACCCGAACTGCCGGGATATTGCATCAGGCACCGTCCGTACCGAGCGCCGTACACACCGGCCAGAGTACTCGGCGCTGCTGCCCTTTCCTCCTCTTTTCTCGATTCTACACTGGTTTCAAACACGCTGAGGCTCCACCTTACGAGGCAGCACCTGCCTGCCTGGGCCCGGCTGAGACGAGCCCGGCCGGTACCAGCGGAGGGGGCGCGGGGAGGCGTTCCTACCTGGGACCTACTCCGGGCGCCCCACGCTGAGCGGCAGTCCGGCTGCATGGACGCGGTTCCCTCCCTCCCAGAGCACCCCTGTGGGCGCACAGGGGAACCCCCCAAACCCTGTGCGGTCGGTGGCATTGGACAGAATTATGTAGAAATTCCTTGGGGTGGGGTTTCGTCCCTGCTGTGCACCATGGACCGTCTAATTATTACAAAGTCCCAACAATAACGTGTGGAGCCATTTATGTTCAATTTTAGGAAAACCGGTGCAGCTTTCAAGTAACTTTAGCTCGCTGACGCTGGTCTCTGGGTACCGAGCCGAGCGGCACTAGGCAGAGCTCGGGGACGGCCCTGGACCGGCAGCATCCTCCGCTGACTCCCACGCCCAGGGCGCCGCGGGCCCCGCTGCCTCGCGCGCCTCGGGGGCGGACATTTACCTCGAGCCGACTTAGGCTGGAGCTCTTGGAGCGTGACTTCTTGCGCAGGTACACGGAGAAGAACCTGCGGACGGCGAACTTCTTCATGCTCAGGTCCATCGCCCCGCGCCCAGCTGGGAGCAGCCGCAGGGCCGGGGGACGCGCATCCCTGGCGCATCCCAGGCGCGGGACTTAGGTCCGCGGGCGGGTGCGTGAGGCTGGGGAGTCCGAAGCGGCGGCCATGGGCGCGGGGCGCGGGCTGCGGGCACAAAGGGCAGGCCGCGCGGGCCACGGCGGCCGGGGCCCCAGGCACTCACTCCGCCTCCGCCTCCGCCCAGCCGCTGCGAGCACCCGCTCCGGGCGGCCCCGCCTCCGCCCCGCCCCGCCACTACCTCCAACCAACGCCCGCCTCCCTGCCCCACCCGCTGCCTCGATCGCCAATCACCGCCCGCCGTTCCACCGCCCAAGGCGTTAGCTCCTCCCTTTCTCCGCCTCCTACTCTCCTGAAAGTACCAGCTCTAGGCAGCCCCACCCTACCCCGCCGCTACAGCCAATCAGCGCTTGTCGCCTCACCCATCCCTGTCCTCCACCACCTTTGCCAGTCAGCGCCCTCTACTCCGCCCACTACCTCCCCGCCCCCGTCACTACCTCCAATCAGCACACGCCATCCAGGCGCTCACTCCTCCTCCCCCTCCTTCCACTTCTCCGGGCAAGTTCCCTCCCCTGCCGCCCCGCCCTTGCCCCGCCCCTCACAGGCACAAAGGCCAATCAGCGTCCGCGGCCGTCGCCTGCCTAATGAGTCCGGCCCCGACCGCTCCCTTCGCCCGCGCTCACCGCGGCTCCGGAGCCGCGCCTGTGGCCAGCGCCCGTCCTGCGCCTCTGGCCTTGCTGGGCATCCTTCTAGCCTGGAAAGTCATTGTTTCTTTCCTTAAAACATGCATATTCATACTTTGACATCATGCCTTTATCTGCCGTACGAACAAAACCTCAATTGTTAATTAGCACTTGTATAAAACTGAGATCCCAGGCACGATGCACCCGCGTGTCCCCCACAGCTCCGCGACCTGGCCGTGTCGCTGGGCACCAGCCCTGCCTCGCGTGGTCGGTGGACTGCGGTGGCCCGCGGGGAAGCTCCGTTCCCTGCGGTCAGAGAACAAGGGCCCCAGGCTGCCTTCCTGCTCTGCTGTCCTGGAGAAGGTCGTCTGCGCAGGTGACTCATCAGGGCCTGCACATGAGTGCCTGAGGACCAGGGTCTCAAGGCCTCCCTGGATTTGCCTCAAAAGGAAATACTGTTTTTTTCTAGACATGTCATCAGAGGGCTGCAAGCAGTCCCATATCTGTGAGCTCATGGCTGTACCCTCCTCTTGTTTTCCTCCTGTGCCACATCCACATGTTAAGTTTAAGAAGAGGAAAAAACAAGCTCATTGGTATACTACCATCAGGGCCTGGAAAACCCCCAAACGTGTACGCAGTGTCAACACCTTCTGCTCTTTTGCAGTGCAAATCACAAAAATCCATGTGTGGTTGTATTCCCTGGACTGATTCAAATGTTGCATTCATACCTGTGATAGACTATTTTTGCTAAAGTGGGTAAAGAGGTTGGGATCTGTAAGCTCCTGCTGTGTCCAGGTGGAAGTGAAGACCATTTCAATGACACTGGTCTTAGTGAGAAGACAGAGAGTTCAGCACCCGAGTCTGGTGCTACCTTTTCCTTGCTTGGTGAACTTGGGCACAGGTTGTGTTCCCACCACTCATCCCTAGGATAAAAATATAAATGAACTCTGCCTGCCACACCTCCCTCACTAGGTTACTGTGCTTATACAAGACTGCCTTGGGAATTAAAAAGTACAATTGATTTTCATGTCACACATTACAGGACCTATAATGAACATTTTTTAAATGTTGGAATGTTTGAAATGAAAAAAAAAAAAAAAAACAGAAGTTCAGAACCCCACAAGGAAACCAAATAACCCTCTTTGCTGATTTAAGCACAGTAAATTTGGAACTGGATTCCATGGCTACTGCTGCTTCTAAGGGAGGACCAGATGCCAGCCTGGGCTCGGTGCAGCTCCCCTAGCAATCGCCCAACTCCTACTGGCACCTGGTGCTGAGTTTGGCTTTAGGGACACAAAATGATCACAACTCAAGAAGTTCACAGTCTCATGGAAGAGAAGGTAAGTAAAAAGACAGATCTGATGCTATTTTTTATGTAATCTGAGTAAGATGTGTAAGAAAATGCTATGTGGACAGAGATAAATGAGAAGTCCCCAGTTAGTCAAAGAGGATGTGGCCTTAGGTCTGATCTGGGGGGAACAGGAGACAAGGGGTGAGTTTCCCAGGCAGATAGAGGCAGGGAGGATATGATGAAGGTGTCCACCCACCCCAGACACCTGCAGCTATGGGCATGGTCAGTGAGTTCCCTGCATGTTGAAAAGATGCCACGTCCTCAGGGCACACAACAAAAGTGGCCCAGGGTTGAGGTCCAGGAGCTCCTACTTAGTCCAGTCCTACCAGGTCCTATCCAGACAGTCCTGTATGTGACTGAAACTTCCAAGCTTCTGAAATTCTGATTTATTCTCATGTTTCATGTCAAATAACACTTCATGTTAACCTTATGTCATAAGGAAAAAATTCTGTCTTCCTTAGGACTAAAACCCCACAGGTTGCTGGGCCCATGGTGGCTGAATTCCCCAGGGCCACCTGGTGTAAGAACTCACCAGGGCTGTCTGGTGCTGGCCCCCTGGACAAGCAAAAACTCACTCTTCCAGATGGTCAGCATTCAAGAGCCTGCTGAGCACAGACCATGCCGTGAGATCATGGGCCTAGCTGGTACTAGAGAGGAAGCCCCACAGGAGTTGGTACGTGTGCGATCTGGGTCCTGTGGCCACTAAACATGGACTTGGCCGTGGGCCCTTGTGTAGTTCCTGAGCATACAGAGAGGAGACCCTTTTCATGGGTTATGGGTCCCTGAGTGCTTGAAATGCTTATCACTTCAAAGCTTCTTGAAGGTAGGAACCAATCTTACTCAGGAAGACAGTCTAGAAGCAGTGCTAGATCAAAAGTAAACACAGAACTATTAGGCTGGAGCATACTCAGAACAAGGAAGTGTCAGCAAGGGCCTTTGAGCTCTCAGGGAAGGGCCTCCTGGGCCTCCAGCAAAAGTCACATGAGTCAGGGGTTGCCTCCGCTCTCCAGCCAGCTCCCCATAGGATGCTTATCTCAGGTCTCATTTCCACATCTAGGGCCCAACTGAGCCACATCAAAATAGCACCTGTCCTCTAAGTTAACAATTTAATATCTTGAGCATATTTATACTGAATGTGAAAGTCAAAGCATTAGAAATAAAGCTATATAAAATCCACTGGAAAACCATGGGGCCAGAACTCAGGCATGCTCATTATGTAACTCTCTGGAACACAGATTTCCCTGCCCCTCCGTGAGCACACCTGGCACCAGTGCCTCCCACGGTGCCTGGCAGAGCACTCCTGGAGTCCTGCTCCCCAGCAGAGAGAAGGTTGCTTTTTGCTTTTGAGATGGTGAAATCTGAGAGATGATGGAAGCACATTGTGGAACAAAAGATAAAGCAAATGTAAAGTGGAGAGAAGCTGAGAGAGAGGGAGTGGCAAACAGACCCCAGCAGACTTTGTCTGGGGCATCACTGTATCACCAGCGCGGTGCCACCCCCTTAAAAGGACCTAAATCCAACTTGTGAAACTCACAGAGACTGAAATCCAGACAGAGATGGCAGGAGACGGGGCAGCTCTGTGGTCTCGGCACATTTTCAGGATTCGTGCCTCATTACAACATTGATGACAGCCACCGAGTTATGCACGAGGCCTCAGGGACTTCCTCATCCTGGAGTCAAGACTCCCCGCCCCGTGAGCACCATCCCCTCATTCCCTCTCCACCCAGGCCCCTGGCAACTGCCCCTGTGTTAGTCTCCTGGTTTGGTGTTTTCAGATGCCAGGTGGGAGCGAGATCATGTGATCTTTGTGTTTCTGTGACTGGCATGTTTCACATTATGTTGAAAGGCAACCATGTGAGGAGAAGGGCTGTTAATTAGCCCGACCTCATCACACAAGGGAGAGTGGTATCAATACCACATGTGTGCCTTAAATTGGTGTTACTTTTTGTCAATTATACCTCAGTAAAGCTGAAATAAAAAGTAAAGAATGAGCCAAGAAGGACATACAGAAGTCAACAGCGGCAGCAGGGAGAGGAGATAAGAGACACGAAGACCAAGAGACTGAGAAGGAGCTTAGCTCAAGGGAAGAGGAAAATGGGGTCAGGCAGCTGAGGAATGAAGAGGAGGCAGAGGAGGACACGCCCTCCAGGGGCAGAGGCATGAAGGGCCAGACCCGAAACAAAGGTTGTGTGAGAGGCCCAAGGACAGCCTGGGCCCAGCGTCACCATGAACAAGCCTGCGCGTGGCTGAAATCTTCAAGCTTATGACACTCCGGTTTCCAAGATCCCTTGGACCCAGCTCCCAGGGGCCTGAGCTCCCTGCCACTAGCACAGAGTTCACAAGGAAATCGGGACATCAGTGACTGAGCCGTCAAGGCACCTGGCCACAAGTCAGACCTGGGAAGGCTTCTGCTACTGGATGTACCAGCTATGGAATATAAAACAGCCAAATTTAATACGTTTGAGGAAATAAAAGCCAGAAATGAACATATGATTAAAGACCAAGAGTCTATGAAAGTGACCAAGCAGACATAAAAATGAACAAAATACTTCTGTTAATATAAAGATGTAGTACTTAAACAAATTGGATGGCATGAACACACGTGTCCCATTTGTTAAAGAACAGAGTAGAGATGGCTAAAGAAAGCCGGAGATGGATCTGAGCACACACTGTGGTGAGCGGCACTGCAGGACGGGGCTGCACTGGACAGTGAAGTATCTTGCATTAAACTGCACCTGCAGTTCACATCATGTGACCTGGACTTTGCTGAAATCCCCTGAGCCTCCAAAACAGTGATTCTCAATAGGGGCAATTTTACCATCCAGGGACATTTGGCAATCTCTGAACACATTTTTGGCTGTCACACTAGGTGGGGGCTACCAGCACAGTGGCCAGGGTCCTGCTGAACATCCTGCTGAAGATGGCAGGCCCATAGCAGTTATCCCGTCAAAATTGTTGACGGTCCCTGTACCTGCTGCTGAATTTATCTGCAAACCTAAAACTCTTAAAAAATGCGGACAGTGCTGAGGTTGAAGAGGGAGGTGGAGGAGGAAGAGAAACCTTTGTACTTCTCTCCCAAGGCTGTCACCTACACAAATGGCGACTTCATGTTAAGTCAACATGCAGACGGGCTTGGTCATGCTCGAAA